CTAAATATTCTAAAAGATTTTTTAAAGGATGATTCCTCACACAACTTTAAGACAAAAATTTCATGTAATCATGTGTCCGAAATGGCTTAGTTTCAAGGATACAGAGTGTCAAAGTTGAAAAAAATTCATTTTTTCCAAAAACTTTGAAAACATATATATTTGAAACTAATTTGCTTCAGACACATAATCATGAAGTCTTCTTGAATATATGTTAGAAATCATCCTTTAAAATCTTTTGCTTAACGGGATGTTGGATTGACGAGCGAATTCCGACGAAAACGTTCACACATATGCACATCTATACATACATTAATACATTTACGTATACATACATACATACACTCATACATACATTTCTGTACACATATGATACATATATGAACAAATTTTTGTATTTTCCTGATGATAATAAGTGTCTAAACTTAATTCTAAGGACTCAATGTTGCTCCTTCTAGTCTAGTAATATCAGTTTTGTAGGTACAGGCTGTAAAAGTTTCATAAAGCAAATATTTACGCGACTTGACAACTTTGAACGCCATTTTAAGGTATCAAATCGTAAAAAAGATTTAAATTTAAAAATTTTTTCTCATTCTTGATACGACATTCATATGCTAAACACGTATTAATGCATAAACTTTAATTGTGAAAAAGGATTTCCAGATCTATAAAGTTAATAAAAAATGAGAGCAATACAAAAATTACTGCGTTTTGTCGATAATACAGACAAGTCCAGCATCGCCTACATCCTATATATGTTTTACATTATACAAAAAATAATATAATACAAGCGTCGATCGTGACGTAAATCCGTGATTGATGTTATTGATGAGAAAAACTTTGTGTTAATATACGTGCATGCAGTTATCATATAAACAAAGAAAACAAACTTGATAATAACATTAGCCGCAAACCAGAAGAGAAGTTTTCGCTGCTACATAGATACATCGTAACATCGCGACGCCGCGTGTAAGAAACCACAAATACAATTGTGAAAACATCGAATTAATTAAATGGCGCTTTAAACTTATAATCGTCGCATTAATTGCTGCTACAAATTGTATTCTTCTAAAGCGAGAATACATTGCGAGAATTTTATGTAGTAAAAGTGCGCATGCTATGTTTATTAGGTATGTAAGTTTTATTATATGTTCAGATTATTTTATTGTCTCGTATCTCATAATCGCGTTATATCACGGATATCAGTATTATTTATAACAGTATATTGAGGTATATTTCACTTATTCAATTTATTTTGAAGATAGTATAACTTTGACCTCGAAAATCCAGCTATGATCGACATTGCGTCAGTTCATATTCATCTCATTGAAATTCATGATGTTTCAAAACTTATACTTTCCAAATAAGCGACTTGATTAGATACGAAGTTGTATCTAATATGCGAAGTGTAACAATACAGAATAATGGAAAAATCTCATTTATAGAAAATACACAAATAATTGAGAGGGAATCTTTTAAAACCAAGGACATTGTTATTATTTTAGAAAATAGATATCAGCATAAGATGTCATAACTTAATATTATTGGCATTTGCCTGCCAATGTTGTGCTCATTTAACATGCGAGGCAAGTACGGAGGTGCGCAATACAATTAAATAGAGTTTAATGAACCTATGGCTTGTTCAACTTCATTTACCACTATATATGCGCGCGTTAAAGTTGGATAACAAGACGTAGAATATTAATTATCAATTACTGTATGTAAAACAATCAAGAACTCGGCGATTCTATGTGTTGTATGTTACCAATAAAAATGCCTGCTTTTAAAAAGCAATTGTTATCTATTTTTAGTTGCAGATTTTTATCTTTATGCATATTATTTTTGCAATAAAAAAAATATGGATGAAGTTCCGAAAGCAACATACCTCCGATTTCAACGAAACTTTGTAAAAACTTTCCTTTCGAATCAAAATGAAAGCCCTTAAAAGGATTTTTGGCGATTAGTATGGGAAGCCATTTTTTGTGGTCAAAATGTTAAATAAAACTTTACTTAATAAAGACAAGTGCTATGATCTTAACCTTGACATATGTTATTAAGGTCATGATCCTGAATAATTCTAAAAAGATTTTAGTCGTTATTTATTAAAAAGTTATTAACAACAAATTTCGGAAACATATAACGGTTTATACTAATATTAACGAACCAGTACTAATTTGTTAATGCATGCGTAGATGTGGTAAATATGTGAACGGGAGGTTTCATCCCTCTCTCATCAGAAAAACCGGTCTCAAAAAATCCAATCAGCTTATTTTAGCTTGTACCAAACATATAATTAGGGAATATGTGCAAATCAATATTAATCCTCTATCTGCAATCTAGATCCTTTTTTGGTCAGCTCAATTCTTTTTTATTGTTCTAGATAACTAAAAGATTTGGAAAAATTCAGGATTATTTTCCATTTTTATTACTTTATCAAATAGTTTTTTGAAATGTTAAAATCTTTATTTAATAAAAATTAAAATTTGAGCAAAAATAAGGAAAAATTGAAATTTGTTTAAAATTTGTTTAAAAATATATAACTTAGCTATAAATAAATATTTAAAAATATTGTTGCAAAGGGTCTTACTTCGAATTATAATCTTAAAAAAATACAAATATATTTGCGACGACTTAAAAAATTAATAAAATTAATAAATAAATTTTAAGAAAGTCGAACAATTTTATATTAATTCATGATTGCAATAAATATGAGTAAAAGCAAGATTTTCTTTTTCTTTTTAAATATTTAAAACAATATTTCAAAATTAGGATTTATTTTGCCTTGATCCATCATTCCATAAAAGGGCATAGAGATCATCACTTGGTAATTCGACTGATTGAATAAGTTTGAATGTATTTGTCTATCTTTATTTTTATTATAAAACTCTACAAAAATTTATTTTAGCAATATTAAAAAAATGACAAAAAATTGGAGAAATTCAAACTCATTTATTTGCGAAAATACTAATACCGTCTGTAATTTGGATCTTTTTTGGAATATATGGCACTTTTGACTCTGTGTTGTCGAAAACAGATTGTCACGCTCTGACATTGCGAGTAAGATTCTATTATTAACAAAACCTTTTAGAAGAAAAAATCGATTTTCATCTTCCTTTTATTTCGAAAAAATTTAAGAATGAAATTTCACTGCTAGAGAAGACTCAGATTGTAGACGAAAAGTTAAGAATCAAACATACTTTCTTTTTAACATTACTTTTTCCTTAAAAAAATAGAAAAACACACTGTTATTATATCTATATAAATTCACATTTCATTATGTTATGTATTATTAAACAAAAGTGACGTGATTGCAATGGCATCCTAAAATTGATGTAATTTAAAATTAATGAACTCATAATATATATCAATTAATGTAATAACATATTTTACATATTTTAACTTATTATAATAGACACGCAATATTAGCATAGAAGTAAAATCGGATAAAAGTCGGATGTGAATTGTCATGCGTATTGATCTAAAAAGTGATTGAAATCATTCACGCGGCATTTCGTTTGTTAGTTATGCGGCCACTTGCTATCATTCTCATTGTTCCTCGGGCGAAGTTCCGGAAGTTATTACGGAATTATTACGTATTTCTCACAAGCGCTTGAGAATAATTGATGTGTTATAGGACAAAGGAGAGCAAGCGCGCATGAGTCAAACGGACATAGGTAGAAATCGATAGGGATGATCTCGTCGAACGACTAGCTCGTTATATCTATCTGTTGTCGGATGCTATATCGTTTCGCGAATATATAAGATTGCATTATTGCAAATTGGAGCAAAATGAGATAGTGAGACAACGTACTAAGAGAACTTCGTTATAAAGAGAATCGAGATAGCCTGTAATAATAAGGGTTAGCATACACGCTTTTCCATTTCGAATTGATTTCAGAGAAAATTAGATTCACGTGATAAATTCATGGTAGTCACGGTGATAGTATTCGTTGTTGTACGGCAGTGCGAGAACCTTGCATACGTTTACAGCCATGATGGACATGAATTATGATGCTACATATGGATAACAATGAAGATAATAAATGATCTATTGTACCTAGGAAATGGTATTCCTGATTATCCTGATATAACTAAAATTTTTTAAATGTTATTGTTGTATACATAATTGACAAAAATTTTTCTGTTGAACAAACAAAATCATTTTATTATATTTATTTACAGTATATATTTATATATCAAGTTCAAGTATAAATTAAAATTCTTAAATATAAATCTCTTATCCTTATCCTTAATCTTATTCTTAAATATAAACGATAAAAATTTATATACATACGAATAAATTTATATACATTTATGAAAGTATTTAATTAGTATTTACGAAAAGATATATGGATATCTTTTATCAAGACTGAGTTTTATTTTTAGCTGTTTTTAATATTAATTTTTGAATATACTTTTTGTATATTCAAAGTGTATTCAAAGAGTGAATATAAATTTAAAATAAATGTTTAAAATTCTTTTCTGAATATTTAATAAAATAATTTGGGGAAAAAAGTTTAGTTTTTGAATTTATAACTTAACCGACACCATACAATAGAGCTCTATATTTTATAACACGGAAAAGTTATAATGATTGTTACAACAACATTCTCTATGACTGGAAAAGAAATATATATGATATATATATATATATATATATATAGAGTTCAAATTATATTGTTATTATATTAAGTAATAACTGTTAAGATTTAGATGATTTTCACAATCGTAGTCCTTACAATAAGTAACATTTGATTAAAATTTCTTCGGCCGAGTTCGGCGGCGCAACGTGGAACGCATCCCATGCAACGGTATGCCAACCGTCTCGCAACTATTTGCGAGTCTAATTAGGTTAGACTCGATACATACTATCGGTCCGCTCTTGCTCCGCTCACGGTCCACTCATGATCCGATCAAATATTATTTCATTGTTTATAACATGCGTATCCACACTATGTATTTCGGTCTGGTCTCGCTCCACTCTCGCTTCGCTTTCATTCCAGCAACGATTCTTCGAAAGAATATTTTACCGGAGCGTGAATATTTTACCCATTGAACTTGTCCGGATTCATATCGACAGTGTAAACAGACGACTCGATCAATTTGCCATTAATTCTCGCAGTCTGTCAGCATCGAACATTGTTGAACAGTGTTAAGAAATATCGAACAGCAATATGAGTAAAAAAAATCTTAATTATTTGAAAAAGGTACGTATATTTTATAATTATAAACTAATTATTAATATATTTCTTAATTTTTATATTAACATGTATAGAAAATGATAAAATTTTAATGTAAATTTTAATGATTTTTTTTAATTTTTAGATGAAATGCTTATTGAATTAGTAAAAGCTAATCAAGGATTGTATAATTTACAATCTCCATTTTATAGTGATAACAATTATAAAAGAAAAGCTTGGGATGAAATTGGAAAAACATTGAATCAACATGGTAAGTGAAGTAATATTTTATTACTACATTAAATTTATTGTTTTGCCACGGTACAGAACCTATGAGCGAGTTAAAGAAGTCTTTAAAAAGATTTCTTATATCAAATGCTTCTGTTCGCACGTTTTCTCCATGTCGTCGTAGATTTTGAATATTATCTGTATTTAATTTCTTTCCTACCAATCAGAAATGATAGTTCGACTATTTCGAATTATGTTATGAAGTATACATGTGGTTAAGATTATTTGGTTTTACATTTTGAGAATCTGCTTTAAGTCTTCTGCAATAAATCCTTCTGCAATAAATCCTAAAAGTTTGGGATAAAATCCCAAACGCACATTCAACCAATCTCTGTGCTCTGCACAATTGATAATTGAATATGCGTTTTACATCTTCGATACTTTGTGCGCCTGGATATCTCATTAAAATTTTTTTATGGTCTCATTAAAATTTTTTTATCGGGAGTGCCTCATTTCCGAGTATAACATATGGTGCTATAGTATTTGTTCCTGGAAGTGCACAGTCTTCAGGAACATTTAATTTCTCATGGTCAAGAGATTTTCCTAAATTAGAATTAACAAAAATACCACCATCGCTATTTTTGCCATGAGCCTACATCCACAGCTATAAATCGATAATTTGCATCTACAGAGAGCTAGTACAACAGAAAAAGTTTTTTTATAATTAAAGTAGGAGTGATCCACTGTTTGCTGGGGCTATTATTATATGTTTCCCGTCTTCTAGGCAATTAGGGCAATTTCACATCGTCCATATGTCATTCGCAATTTCTGTTCAGTCCTCTTTCTGTGAAGTTGGAATAAAATTGGCTAATAATTCATCATTGATCGCTTGACAAACTTCTAAAACGATTGCTTGAATAATAGAATGACCAAGACGATAGCTGAATTGTTCGAAATGAATCTCCTATTGCTAGAAATCTATAATAAATAAAATAAATAAAATAAACAGAATTAAAAAATAATAAAATTAAATCTATATAATCTAAAACAATAAAAAAAATCTTTCTAAAAAAAGGCATGACATTGATTACTTACATTTTTCAAACTTTATTGTTGTCGCTTTTCTACAATGCCGATTGGTTTTCTTGTCGCGCTAACTCTGTGAATAACTGTCATTGGGTACGTTCAGCAAACGCAACAGTTGTGCAATTGTTGGCGAAATGTTCGCTGAACGCGCCTGATCAGTGAGCGTATTCTCAACATGTTTAGTGAGCGGCCGCTTTTTCCGCGATTTTCAAGTACGCTCAGTGAGTACAACGTGTTGTAAGCTTAGCGGAACTTACATTTTATTATGAAAATGGAGAATTTTTATCCCTTTGTATCATGTAAGACTTACCTCTACAGCTATTCTCGACATACTAAAATGTTCTTTAAATACATCATTATTATACAATGGAATTATTCTTTCATAATAATTTTCATTTTTCCAATATATATGACGTCTTGCATTAAAATTAGTAATTCATCTTGTATCTTCTTCGACAAAATGTCTTATTATATTTCTCTCTATAATATTATTCTAGCAACGAAGTATGAAATTATTAGCAGCCATTATTAAATTATAAAAGAGAACTATAATTTCTGTGAATACGAATAACACGACACAATAATGTGATATATACTATTTTTAAATAAAGATTGTTTTTGTGTACATACATATTGCGCATGTCAATAAATGCTTAGATCGTTCAAGAAATTGTTCACTTTATGCTCAAAGAGCGCTCAGTGATCAGTTGTCCAACATCAGTTGTTGTGTTCGCTGAACGCAGTCATTGTATTGACTTCACAGACGATCATTTTGATAATTGTGTATTAAGAAGTTAAAAATATTATAATGTAACATTAGTATAATATTGTATTAATTTTTACTTTTGTGTTGAAAAAGATAAATAGCGCGCGCGCAGCGCGCGTTTGTAATGTCTAGTTATTTAAAAATTATGTTATACAAATATGCTATAAGAAAATTTTTATTTATTATTGTTATGTATTATATTATTGTATTTATTATTATTAATGAATGATAATATAATTCTATAATATAATTTTATTAAATAATATAATAATAACAATAATAAACTAATAATAATAAGTAATAACAATGTTGGTAATAATAAATAATTAAAACAATATGTACACAGTAATATATATAATAATATATATACATATAATGTAAATTATATATATGTACATATAATATAATAATATATATATACATATAAAATACATATGATACTATCATGATTTTTTTTATTTGTAGATGCAAAATACGCTGGAATCTTTGAAATCTTAATACTGAAAACATTTGAATAAGCAAAAAACAAAAGTGGACAAGCAGCTACCAAAATAACAAAACGGAAATGGCAAGATCAAATGTCTTTTTTGAATGAATTTTTAAATCAGGACTCTCCGCAATTAACATCTATTGGCGAAAATTTCGATGAAGAAAAAGGAGATTTATGTAAAAAGATTCATATAGAAAGAGACTTTCAGAAACTATCACTTCATTTCAAAATAATGACGATACAGAGGATTACGAATCTCAATCAAATCCCAAAAAAACGATGTTTGAAAAAAAGAAAAACCAGAAATCCCATAATGCAATCCAAGAAAGTGCATCTACGATTCTAATGAAATATTTAATAGAAAGAAAGGAACAGGAAAGTACAGCTGCTCACTCCATAGATAATTTTTTTTCTTTAATGGTTACGACAGTCAAAAATTTTTCACCGATAGATCAACACTACGTAAAAACCAAAGTATTCGCTATAATTGATGATATAGAAGCTAAATATTTAATGTATCCTCTTCCATATTTTACATCGTCTACACAACAATCTCCGGCACATTTTACACCATCTACACAACAATCTCCCGCATATTTTATTCCATTTCCACAGCCATCTCTCACACAATATGACACCAATATGACACCTATTACGAATCATAATACATACATATTATAAGTAAATATACATATATAATGCATGTCATGCCAAAGATTAATACATTTTGGCAGCCAGTAGGGTAATTTATGTTTCATACAACTAATATTCTTCGATATAATGAAATTCGCCGGTTATATACGATATTTTTCATAATGCCCATTAGCTACGTTCATATATTATGAAATGTTATATTTATTTTTTATTCTATGATAAATAATCTATTAATATACTTATATTGCAATAATGAAAAAAGTATTACTTATCTTAGGCATACAATCAATTTTTCCCTTGGAGAAATAACTTCACGAAAACATACATTTTTTTCAAAACTTTTTTTTCAATTTTTTATAATATCATTTCGAATGTACCTGTATCCATTCGAAAATATTTAATAAATTTATTCTCGTCGTTTATTAAATGAGGATATACTGTAAAATATTCTCCTTTAGTTTTTCTATTAATTAAACTGGGATAAATCCACATTGATCTTTTTCTCTTCATCTTTCATTTTGTATTATATTTTTCATCGTCCAGTATCATAGCAATTATGATTAACTCTTTATCGGAAAATAGTGTCATTTTTTTCAGGTAAAAATTATGAACTTGATAGCAAGAAGATTGAAACTATACTGATCATCTGGAATCAGATTGAAAGCGGATCGCATCACCGGATCCATAATGTAAAAGAAAGGTGTAACATTACGTATGCGCAATCTCGACCAATAAGAATTGAATCAAAATGCTGAAAAATAATATGGCTGCAGCGCGAAGTTCCGAAGTTTTTCCAATTAATGCAAAGAAACATTAACTTATATTAGAAACACGATTTGTATCGGCTGTTTCCTGTAAATGATTGCAAGCAAATAGCTTAGCTATTTGCGAGCGTGTAGCATAGAAATACAGGACCCGTGGCACTGTCCTCATCACTCGTGAGAAGGTAGAGCGAGATAAATCAAAATGTCTTATACCATTTTGCGATATTCGCAATAATTTTTGAGTTATTAAATATTAAAGTTGCACAAATAAGAACGCGCGGGGAGAAAGCGCTCGCCCGCCTAA